CTATATGACAAGAAATAAATCTTCCAAGAACTTTTAAATACAGGAATCTCAGCACTAATATACAAGTTTAATGTGAAAAATGCTCACATTAAACAAATTTTGCTTTGCATATCAGTAATAAAAAAGTATGATTGCCATCATAACAAAATACAAATTCAATTAGATTCAAAGTTTGGCAAATTCAATATCTAATTTGAAACTAAACTTGAAAGAAATTTCCCCTAGATGCCCCTGTCTTTGCGAGCAATCATAATGAACAAGATGAAAACTTATAGAATCAAAAAGTAATATCTGTAGCTTGTTAAACTAATATACTTCTTTTCAAGATATATAAATATAAAAAGTCTCCGGAAAAGTTTAATCTAAATAAAGAATGAAAAACTAACTAAATCCATTTAAATCATTAAATGTTTCTAAGGAGAAATATGCTATATGAGCTTAAAACTATACTTAATAGCAGAATCAAATAAAAAAAAATTAAACAATGTGCCGAATCCAAAATTCTAAAACAACTTTAAAAAAATTCCTTCTCTGAACAATATTTCTTATTTGAAGATTACCTCACTAATATAAACTAATAAACAAGATTATCGTCAATAAGTTCTGTACAATAGCACCTATTAAATAGCTGTATAAAATTACTAGACTGAAAAATTAAACAAGAGTTATTTTTACTACTCAGACAAAGCTTTCCATGTGCACTTAAGTTAAACTACAATTTAAAAAATATCAAACATAGGTAAAAAATACTTTCAAAATTTTACTTTTGTTTTAGCATTCGTAGAATTTTTCCTTCATTGATTTTCTTTTATTTTGTGCTGCAATCTAAACTATATATTATCATTTATTTTTATGAATAAAAGAAAATCACAATATATATATATATAATCATTTGGAACGTTGATAACTGATTGAAAAAATGATTTTCAGAAGTTATCAAAACTGTTTATTTATCCATTACACGGATCTACTAAGTTATGGAGTTTCAATTTTTAGGGAAAATCAAACTTGTAATTTATTAAATCTACTGATATTATTTAATAATCTTTATATTTGACAATAAGTTGCTTATTAGTTACTTATCCAACCAAATTTTAAATGTTTGATAAAAATTTAACTCTTAGTTGTATTATTACAACTTCATTATATATAAGACCTATATGGATTCAGTTATATTGTTATTAGCTATATTTACAAAAGAACTTTTTTAATAAATTAGTAAAATTTGATAATTAAAATAACAATATAGCAAAAATTGAAATTTTTGCTATCTTTAAGTTAATACAAAATTAACTTTTAAAACAATATGTTTATCAGCGTTGAAATAAAAATAAATTAAAATTATAGTTGGCTCTGGTGCCTCACTTGTTGGAAGAAAATCTTTTGCTAATCAGATCCCAATTATTCTGAATCATAATTGTTGTATATAAATTTGCAATTCTGGAACTTTATTAAATCTAGAAAGCTATGCCTTTATAGAAAATTTAAATAAGTTATAATAAAATTAATTGGTAACCATAATATCTCATGTAAGCTATGCTGTAAGATTTAGGAATAAATTTTATTAAAAGTAAAAAAATTTTGAATACTAATCCTTACCTTGCTTGCTTAACTCACAAATTTCTGTGTATTTACTGCAAAAATATTTACACTGTGCTTGAAAAAGACAAAGTAAAACTTTTCACTGACATTTTTCAATACTTAAAGTTATTTAATTTTTAAATAAAGACAGCATATGAAATAAATATTCACATATGTTAACTACAAACATTTAAGATATTTTTATCAGAAGTAAAATTTTAATTTCCAATAGTAACAAATGCTATAACAAAGATAAGTACAGAATTGGTACATCACAAAAAATTATTTAAGTAATCAATGTGTGCCAAAAGTGCTGAGTCTACCAAAAGTGGTTCCTCTGTGACTATTACTCTCTTTCATTTTTTTAATAGTGCTTTTAGCAGTGATGATAAGTGACAAAAAGGCTAGAAATGCAGCAATAAGTTAATAGAATAACAAGACAAACTGCAAACTAAAAATGTTAGACATTTTAAAACAAATAGTTTAGCAATATACTGTTAAACTATTAAGCTATTGCAAATAAAAATAACAAAATAGTTCAGCCTATTTGCATAAAACCATAATCAAATCAGGTTGTTTTAATAATTAACAGTGTATTAACAGATCTTTGAGGTGTACTAACAAGATATGTTGTCGTAGTCCATTTATGTCAAGTTTGGATACTATGTCTCCTTAAAGACATTTATCATTAACCATAATACTATGATTACTACAGCTGTTAACAAAATTATTTAAATACTGCAAAAAATAAATAAATCTACTGAATATTAACAGGAGCATAAGTTTTAGCAAAATTAAAAAGAAAAATTGTATATATGAAGTAGTGTGTGATTAATAATAAAGTAATTTAAATAAAATTTCTTTTTACACTAAGAAATAGCAGATTTGATGAAAAATAATCCTACACATTAAATGTCTTAATTATTCATAGAAAACAACCACATACTTTAAGAAAGTGGCAAAAAATATTGCACAAAATCTGCATTAGCAATTCAATCTAAAATTTTTGTGGGAGTTTTAAAAGCGCATGTTTAATTAAGCAAGAAGCTTCCATTGAAACAGATGTTATCAAGAGAGCAGTGAGAGCATTCATAAAGCTCTAAAATTTTAAGAAATGTTGGTGAAAACATTTCAGGACTGAATTTTGTTACCCGCCCATTTTTCATGCAGAAATTTAAGTTTATAATGCAGGAATTTAAGCTTTACTATAATCCATCATTTAATCAAGACAAGATAAATCTTGGTGAAACATGAACTTATGTATATCAAGCAAAAGCTAGACCATCACCAACAGAAAATGAATGAATGATAATTTAATTTTTACAAAGGATTTATTACAGCAGTAATATGTATTGATGTCTCATTTTAGGAAAAAATTATACATCCACATACCCTGTTAAGATTATTTCATTGTTTTCTGAATTAAAATTGCTACAAAAGTAAATCAATAAGTTTGAAAGCAGATCTACAATAAATTTTCTATATTAAAATGATCTGTCTCCAGAATCATTGATTCAATTATGTCTAAGTTTTTTTCTTTCATATTATATTAGAAATATTAAGAAAAAATATTTGTTCATGAAATTTTTTTTATAACAATTTACATTTTTTTTTTTATTTCAAAATTTTGCAAACAATTTCTTTCCTTATAAGTAATTTGATTTTGCAAGGGATTTAGGGATAAAGCAAGAAAGGAAATCACCTGGAAATAAGGTAAATATTTTTGCTTTAATATATAAGATTTGCAATTTATTTATTTTTTTATATATGCAAACAGAGAAAATATGAAGAGCAAAGTTTTGAGATAGAAACTGTTTTTGATATAAAAATTTTAAGTACTTTTCCAAAAAAATTCAAGCTTTTATTGAAAAATGAAATAAATATGTACCAAAATCATTGCAGACAACTGCATTGCAAAATCACTGCAGTAACATTTAATAAAATAAGTTTATCTTTAATTACTTCAGAAAAATTGCCTTTGCTTAAAACATCAATCAAAAAGCAGCATAGCTGACCCCCAAGCTAGACCGGTAACATTGAACTAGATAAATCAAATTCAATTTCATAGGAATAATTCCTCCCAAAAGGCAGCATTGACTTTGAGCTCGTTCTGTCAAACTGGAGTAGGCATCAAAGAATTTAATATTAAACTCAACTGAAGTTACAAAATTTATCAGTGTTTAGGATTTTAAATTTCAATGAAAAACATAGTTAGTATAAAACTAATACATTTTAAAACTCACCAAAAAAAAAAACATTAGATTTTGAAAAATAAATAACAAGAGGATGCTAACGAGCTAGCTACAAAATGTTATAATAAATTAAAAGTAATTGATCATTTCTAGCACTGCCTATTAATATTTTGGAATGAAAATTAGAAACATATATATAACACATATATACATTATAACCACAAAAGTCTAGACTTTTAAAATTTTGAAAACTCAGAGGTCAGATCAATTCCTTGTGAAGAGAAAAAAAATTAGTTTACTAAATTTTAAACTAAAGTCAAGATATGAAAATTTATGTGATGTAATAACATATTTAAAAAAATAGATTTTAAAAACTACATCAAAATCTGTAACAATAACTTCTGAAAAAGTAATCAACAAAAATTTGGTTGAAATCATCATGAATTAAGCATATCAAAAAGTGATTACTCAAGAGAAAACGGGTGCAGTAAAAAAAAGAAGGAAAGATTACGTAATAGCACAATTAGAAATTTATGTTTAGTAATATTCTATTAAGATATAAAGATTTTATAAACCATGAGAAAATTCTCTAAATAACTGACGAAAGAATGGGTAAAACCACGTGGATTTAAAATAGATTATAATTTTGCCTTTAACTTACTATTGGTGTAAGTAAGATATCTAAAATCGAGAATTTTCCAAACCCTCAAACAGTCAGGATTTGTGAGGTTATACAGCATACACACACACACATATATATAAANTATATCAAAATTTTTTCCATAAAATGCAATTTATCAAAGCCAATAAAATTACTCAATATTTTGAGCAACATAAATCTCTTCAAAAGAAATAATCATTTGGAAAATATTTCACACAAAGAACTTCACTGGTTTCCTTCTACCCACCTCTTTAACAGCAAACAAAAAACACAGAAATGTAAAAAAAAATCAAAATCTTCTTTAACAATAACTAAACCAAGGCTACAATTCCAACATAACATCACACTATGTCAGAATGAGGATGATTTTCTAGACTGGTAAACTTCAAAATCAATTTTATAAAGCATACATTAAAATACAACATAAATCACATTTCAAAATATAAAATAGAAATTTTGGCAGTTTCAAGTCGTATTATGCTGAGTATAACTTCTTTCCTGGCTGCATATTTGCTAGCCAGAGAGATTAATGCATGCAATCACTTTTAAACTTCACATAAACAAAATATCACAAGCAAAAGAAGATAAGACATCCAGAGAATTTTAGGCAGTGTTCAAAGGTATTTCTTTTTGATTCAAAAGCTACCATTAAAGTACAAATTTTAAATCACTGGCACAGAAACAAAACCTACTTGCCAACAAATACACAGTGTGTAATATAGAATATAGTGAAACATTTTTCTTGGTTCATTAGTTCTATGAAGATATTTTTAACATGAATAAAACTATGTATCAATAACAAACTTACTGAAAGAATATTAAATATTTGGAATATGCATTAAAAATTTTGAAAAATATGCTTAACATGTTAACTGCCACAATAACCAAGTGTGAATATCATACATTTAAAAATACAAACCAGAAGTAGCAGTGGTGAACCTCATGCTCCATAGATGTAAAAGTCATTAGACATATATATTAAAGTTTCGAGGTAAAATGTTTCTTAATACCAATAATTTTATCCAGAATATGCTATCTTATGTTCTGGAATACACTGAAATATTTTCTGAATTCACTTGTGCAGTAATTATACATCAGTAAAAACATTGTCTTTTTCTATTATTTACAAAACTCAATGGATTTTCAAAAAACATGATTTAGACAATATAACACTAATTATACTGGGAATTTTAAACATTTTAATTCCACAAAGCCATTTTTAATAATGCATGGTGGCACTTAACATGTTAAAACATTTTTTATAAAAAGAAAAAAGTAGAAAGATACTCAATTTTGAAACAAATGTTAACATGTGAGAAACCCTATTGTTTCGTTGATTGTTTATCAACAGGGGTTAAAATATTCAACATCTATTTATCTACAAAATAATATAAATCTTTCAAAACTTAGCCATTTACACAAATACTAGATTACAGGTGTTTCTTAGTACAATATGGACTTCTGTTAGATCTGTAGCTATTGATTTTTGAATTGATAGCATCATAATCACTCCTTAAATTTCTTAGTTCATATTTTTTCTCTAAGCAATTATACTCTGGAAAACTTTAACTGTCATTAGAGACTGAACACTTTCAAAGTTTATCTGAGCATCTTCAACTATAACAAAACAGCATAACATGAAAAACTTTTTTTCAGTTTTAGCACACTACTTACAGTATCAGGCACATGAAGATCCCAAAAATCTGAGACCTATTTTCGCAAAGCATGCAAATTTATCACAGCATGAATTCGTTTTCACCACCTGTAACCAAATATTTTCTGCCCTTGGTGTGATCACGAAAACGATATATAAAACTCATCACACTATTATGTATAAAGAAAAATCAACAATATCATTTCACATTTTAGATGCCTTTACATCAGATTTTTAAAGGAAAATATAACAACAACCATGCAAGTTTTAAAAATTATAACCTTTGAGCTTCAGGTTCATACGCTAAAATATGCTTCATATCACAAGATTCTTGTTCGGGTATGTTATTCTTAGAGTTTACATCATTCTCTATAATTCGTTCAGATGTTGATGAGCTATCACTTTCAGTTATTTCATTTGAAAAACCTTGATAATGATACGATGAGGATGAGGATGAAGACATGGATCGAGGAGACCATTTACCTGTGGGCACAACACTTGAAAAAGAAGCTTGATAAGATGACTGGACATTAATATTGGCTAAACCTGTAAAAAATATGTATAACTTGCAAGCTTTTAAGTGTAGTAATAGTAATCTATCTTTAAGAATTAAAAGTAAGCATCATACAGTAAAGTTTATACTAAACAATATTTTAGAATTATTTGATTGGGAAACTGAATTGATTGAAAATTTAAATATTTTTGAAGTTGTCAATCAATGCCTAAGTAAGATAATAGTTTCAGTACAATTTGAAAAGTCAACCTTCAAGTAACAAAAATTAGATATTTTTCAAAAAGAATTAAATATGTGTGTACAGAAGCTTAGAAAAAAGAATCTTATATTAATAGAGAATTTGATTTTCTCAATACAAATTAAATTTCTGGGTTAAACAATAAAATAAAAAAATCATAAGCCATTTTCATTTGTACTTTTGTCAAGTAAGCTGAAGAAGCTAAAATTGAAATATTTACTATAATAGGAAAGACCTTAAATTTCAACAATTTCTCCAAGAGAGCCACAATGGCTCAGGAGATAGAGCTTTCATCTCCCAATGAGGTGACTCAAGTTGGAATCTGAGCCATAGCTGGTTGATATGAATTTTGTTCCAAGTTTGTACCACGCTGCATCATGGGTTAAAACCCCCTTGAAGTAGAGCTAACCATGGTAGGTTTTCCTCTACATGTAATGCAAATGCGGGTTTGGTTAGTTCCATCAAAAAAGTCCTCCACAAAAGCTACTTTGTCCCAATGCTTAATCCAGGAGTTCTTCTGTCATTTGGGTAGGGTTCAAAATTACAAGGATATGGAGTTGACATTGATAGTCATTAACTCAGAATTCAGTGGGCTGTTCAATGTCGATTATGAAATAAGATAAAATCTCCTTTTGAACATGAAAAATTTTTGACATATTTACAAATAATCACAACTTTAAGCAAGTCAGAGGCTTAAATTTCTTTAATGTTGAACTTACTGTGGCAACGAGATTATCGCCAAGCCAGAATTCTAAGTACAATCACAGTTCAGATAGACCGTATGATGAGCAGTATGTATGGAAATGGAAAATAAAGATTTGTTTTATTTGAAAAATTCAGTTATCCAAATAAAGCTTGTTTAGAGAAATTAGATGAGTGGGTCAGGGTTCCCTGGCGGGTTGGTCTGAGCAGGGGTCTGTCTAGGTTTTTCTGAAAGGTACCTATTTTGTGAAAATTTAGACATAATTTGTGAAAAATTAAAAATTATATTACAAAATCAATACAAAAACATGGCAAAAATATAGATTTATCGTTTCTTAAAGGATTAAAAAATAAAATTTTAAGAAAAAGTATTTTGTGAAACTACCGTTTTTCCTAAAGTTGAATTTGTGAAACTACCGTTTCACCTAAAATTGAATTTGTGAAGGTACCGCTAAACGGTAGTAAATTCGGCCTGGACAGACCCCTGCTGAGACAACCAAATTCTGATCAACCAAAATCTAAATAAAATTCAGTGGTCCCCGCACCAACAATCACATATAAAAGGATGGTATGCTGATTTGGTTTTCTGTGCTGACAGTTTTGCACAATCATAGTCAAAAGAAGCTAGACTTTCAAGATTCTGGGAAATTGCTAACGTCTTTGTTGAAAGGAAATAAAGTGAGAAAGGCTAAGTTCATGACATCATTGTCAGTCAAAAAATTAAGAATTTCTTAATGCATAGTTTCTGTTTTAATTTGTGTGCTCAGTTCTTTTTCTTTGTGGAAACAAATTTCTTAGAGAAAAAGTATTTTTAATATATTATCCCAAGTTAATTGTAGAAGCTTAGCATTGGTACAGAATCACAAAAAAAAAAAAAAAAAAAAAAAAAAAAAAAAAAAAAAAAAAAAAAAAAAANAAAAAAAAAAAAAACTACAAACTGTAATAAGAATACAGACATTGAAATCTTTTAGCTACTGCAGGGGTCTGTCCAGACATTTTGTGAAAGGTCCTGTTTTTGTAAAATTGAGAAAAAACTATTCATAATTTGTGAACATAAAATAAGCGTTAAGTTACATTCTTTCAACCAGGGTCCTGCTTTTTTGAATTTGTGCAAATAGGGTCCTGCTATTGCAAAAATTGCTAAAAACCTTTTCAAGAAGTTTTTAAATTGTGAATAGATACAAGATTCTACTCAACAATTGCTGTTACTAAATTAGAGATGCAACATAGAAATATTTGGTATTTAGCCTATACTTCTCAACAAAGAATATTCATTTCGGATGAATAATGGAAACAAAATCACTCACATTTTTAATAATTTCAATTGACATATTTTAAATAACACAACTTTGTAATGTATGACTTTTAATGCGTTACGCATTAAGTAAATTTAAACAATTCTTAAATTTATACTATTTTATTTAAAAAATTGCCAAAAATTAATTTTTATTTACATAATATTCAATTAATTTTATGAATAAATATAAATTGATCAATTGTTTATTTCCAAAAAAAATTATGATTTAATATTAATAAGAATACGCACATGATGTTTGTAAAAGTAGAAATATTTTCTTAGAATACTACATTTGGAATTTAAACTTAGGGAAACTTAGTTTGTCCCGAACCGTCCTCCCCCCCCCCTCCCGGGGCAGGGTTTATTCAATTAACAAAACAATAATGAAGATAAACAAATTTGTGAAGGGTCCGATTAAAAAATAAATTATTTTGTGAAGAGTCTGTTTTCATGAAAAGATATTTTGTGAATGGTCCATTAACAGACCCAAATTTCTTCTAAACAGACCCCTGTACTGGTCAATAGAAACAGTAACTAAAGCTTTTAAGTTTATTTAGATTTTACGTGCATAAGCTTTAAGCCATTACTATGGATCCTGCAAGGGACAGATTATGTTATAGAGAGATAAAAAAATTTATTCATTAGTCTCATCCAATTAGCAAATTCGCATACCGTGTTTCAGACGCATTTGCTTCTTAGCATCTTTTCTCCGATTGTTGAACCAATTGTTTACAACAGGAAGAGTAACAGTGTCTCTATCGGATAAAGGCCACTCTAAACACAGAGAAAGAAAAACACAAAACATTACATACAAAAAATAGATAAAATGGCACCAAGCAAACTAATTAACTAAGCATAATTTTTTATACATTTAGAGCAGTAAAGAATAAAGAGTAACAGATCAAACATTTTACCAGATTTATTATTAATGTTACGTATTTTGTCAAAATAAAGAAAAAAAATTAGCAAGATTTTCTTTCATATTTCACATTTTTGGGGAATTTATAACGCATTATCTGCAATACTAAGAGTTCCCTGAGTTCTAATTAACCTGGCTTCCAAGGACCCAAACATGATTAAAAAAAAAAAAAATCGAAGTTTTTTAATGTTAAAAAATTGGTTTTGTTAAAGGTAGCAGGCATTGATATAAAGTTAGCACACTTATATAATTTTACTTTCGAATTATTAAAGCTTTATTTTATCTCAGTATTTGAAATTTGAACCTCAAAAATAATCCAAATTGAAGAGATGAGAAGTCATCAAAGTATTATAGAATTTTCTGAAAAATTTATTTCAAAACTTGCAAATAATTTTTCAACAACACTTTACTTACAACTTCTTCTCTCTTTCCCCATGAGTCACATTTCTTTTATTTTTGATTAAAAAAATAACCTGATTAAATCATTCTCTATAATGAAAAATGACTTTTTAATTCATTACTTATCAGTTTACATCTGTTTAAATGATATCAATTCTGTATTGTTATGTTTGACAAAAAAAAAAAGCAGAGAAATTTTTTTTAAATTTCAAAATACATAAACAATTAGCTTAAATCAAACCTTATATTTCTTTACAGTTTTGTTTTTCTGGAAAGTACAGAATAATTGCATGATAAAGAGTTTCCTTTAATGAATTTTAAATCAGGGTTGGTATTTTGTACAGAAAAAATCTATTTCTTCCAAGTGGAAGAAATGAAAGAAACTAAAAATGACCTAATTGTTGAACAATGAATATTTAATGAATAGTTCAAATTAAAGACAAATAAAATTTAATATAGAATAAGGAAGCAAAATTTCTTACATTTAGTTTCAAAAAATAATTTTTACTTTCATTTCTGTTTTATACAGAATTTTAAAATCTCTAAAACCTCTTATAACAATTTACATTGAAACTGGAATAATGTCATCCTTATTTCCTTAAATAAAAGTGTAGATTTACATTTCAAACAATTATATGTACTTATATTTTACTGTTAAAAAAATTTATTATCAAAAAAAAATATTCGTTAATAAAATATTGATTAAAAATTATTATTTTAAAATCATTACTTAGTTAATTTTCTTTTTCAACTGATAAAATTTTTTAAGCTAATGCATTTTTAGAAAAATCTTTTCACTTTAAAGTTATAATAGTGAATCCTAAGCAAAATAGCGCAAAGCAATCGAAATATAAAAAAACTTAATGAAACAATACTTAACTATAATATTTATATTCAAATAAAAATTAAATACTTTATAACAAAAAATGCACTTTAAAATGTTCCATGAACATTTTCATGATTTCCAGTTCAAATATTGCAAAAGTTTTAAAATTGTTTACCACTTTTACGTAATTAATCAATGATTTGATAATGGAATTTGGTAATTACTGAATAAAAATTAAAAAGAATTTTGATTTATTTTATAAATTATAATTAACATATATTTTTAAAATCTCCATTAAAAATATCGATTGATAAAGACTTTTAGAATGCTAAATAACAGCATTTGATTACGAAAATTGAGTATGCTACTGCAGTTTTTCGTAATATACAATTAATCATTTTTTACAATGTTTAAAAAGTTCTTTATGTGATTATAAAATAAAGTTCTACTAAACTTTTTTTTACGAAAAACATTCATAAAAAAAAAAACTATATTTGTTTTAACTTCTTAAGATATTAAATAAATTCATTTTTCCCAATTTTTGGTTTTTTTACTTTCAATTATTTAAAAATGATTTATTAAATGACTTGGAAATTAATATTATTATTGAAACTAGATTGCAATTATAATTGATATCAACTTTAACACTTGATATTTCTTTACTAAAAAGAGTTTCTTTCACTTGGGCTGGAAGAAACCTATTTCTTCCAGGGCAGTTTTTTTCCATGGTTTTTTTTAACAATGGAAGAAGCTTGCCACCCCTGGCTTAAATCAAAACATCGTAGAAAATTACTTTCTTAATAGTTTCTCCTTATCTATATATTAATAGGCTAGCAATATTTTGTCTCGCTAAAAACTCCCAAACTACACAACAGAATTAAACAAATAAGGTGTCGTTTTAAAGGTATTGTTATGTAGATGTGCAATAAGGTCTTAAATTATGAAAATTTCCTTTAATTAATTAATAAAATTAATAATTTAGTTTCAACCAATGAGAATTCAGCAAATCATTTTTCGGGTGGTTCGCATAAGCATTGTTTCCGTAAGCATCGTTTGATTTAAAGCATTTCTGAATTAATAGATTGATAAACAAAAATAAGAGTGGATAAAAAAAACGGAACTGAATTTCTTAAAAAAAGAATTCAATATCTTTAGTTCCTTTGATAAATTTTTAGTTTCATGATAAATTTTTTGTTTCGTTACAATAGAATGGCAATGGCATCGTGCGAATATTCAAACCAAAACAAACGTGCGAATATTCAAACCAAAACAAACTTTCTACAAACAATTATTTTGATTTGAGATTTAAAACGATATCTTAGTTATTTAGTTCAATTTTTTTTATTTAGTGCCTGCTGCCTAAATAAAATGCCTGCTATCAGGCGTCGAAATATCTCTGGCAGACGTCAGAGAAATGAATGGCGGAATTCTAAACGGGAAAGCATTTCTTATTGAGATATATTCTCTGCTACAGCTCCAAATTTCTCAGCTACATGAATAAAAGATAATCAAATTGTGAAGGGGGCAGAGAAGTGTATAAATTTCATTAAGTAATTGATTTCAATATCTGGCATTTTTATTTTAAAATTTAAATTTGTTAAAATGTTTTTATAAGATTGCGAAGCAGGGGGCGGAGCCCCCTAGTTTCTATTGAAATGAAAAGATTTTATTCTACAATTCTCAACTGCATTTTTAACAAGGCTTCCGTTCTCTGCGCACAAAAAAAAGAAAAAAAAATTTTTATGAGAAATTCACAAGCATGATATTTTAATATTACTGCTATTTTATACAAAAGTTACATTACATACAACAACAAAAAAATTTCATAAAATTTTATTTATGGTTACAAATATAACCTATTTAAAAAGTCTCATAATAGTGCTCTAGCATTCCCTATAAAAGACAAATTTTTAATAATGTTTTGTGCTTTATAAACACAGAGTTTACTCATAACATTAGATAAGTCAGTTTGACTTGTTCGAATCAAAATATGAAATTATTCAAATTAGACAACTAAAGGGTTAAATGCTTTTTCTATCACTTTCGTTTTAAAGTTGCTCTTAAAAAATTTGAGTCTCTGAAAAGAAAATATCACTGTCAAAAAGATATGCGCAAATGAGCACACTACTGATATCTAGACAGGAAATTAGTATAGAATTCATTTATTTCTGGAGTGTGGGAGAAAAAATCTGAATCCTAAACAATAGCATTATTACTGAATGTATAAAAATATGACCAATGTGCTGTTTTTCTTTTTTGGCAGCTGAAGAACAAAAGCCAACTATCATTCAGCTGACAATGAAGAATGTATACGGAGTTGTTGCTACTACTCAGAGCTCTAGTCACACTACACAGTGGTGTCATCATATGTTCTCTCATCCCAAGTAGTTCAACAGTCAGTCCTCTGTTAGAAAAAGTAAAACTTACCATGTTCTTTGACTACCAGGGCCTGTATCTTATTGATTTTAAGAAACAAGGAAATCTCCATCATTGGAACATGTAACAACAAAACCTTGGAGAGATTAATACACACAATTAAAGTGAAACATCCAAGAAAACTGCAAAATTGGGTAAGTGTGCTTCATGATAATGCAGGTTCCAACATCAAAAATATTGTGACCTAGAAGTTGCAGACATTCAGCACCTGTCTAACAATCATGATCTCTTTTTATGTGATTTTCACATCCTCTATTTTTCAAACTAAGAAAATTTTCAACTTATCAAGCAGCAAAAATGGAGTTATACAGAAGCGTCACATTCAAGTTAGTGATACAGTGGGATAATTGCTCAAGCACAAAATTTTTTATCGCCTTGCATAAATTTTGATAAGTTTTAATGAAAATCAGAAGAAAATGATTTCTAAGTGATGAATTTACTAGTAATATTTTTGCAATCAATTTCTTTAACTTAGCACATCAACTAAAAGAGCAAAATGAAAACAAGTGTTTGCAAATAAAATAGAGAGATACAATTACCACATTTTTCAGCAGCTTTGTTGCATTGTTCAACAATCTGTTCTCGCACTTGAGTATCCGGGTAAGGATCTTGTTCATAATATTTTTCTAACACAGCAAGATGGGAGCCTTTGAATGTGAATCGTTCTCTTTTAAGAGGAATTAGATCACCAGATTCAGACACCATTCTTTTAATTCCAGAACTTGGACACATTTGTGCTTAAAAAAAAGTTTTCATCAATTGCGTTTACAAAAAAATAGAATTATTTAAAGAGTGGCTGAAAAAATTTATTCTATAAAACTTTTCAAATTTTTGTTACAAATAAGCAAAAATGAAAATGCAGTGAAAAATTTGACAGGTTGTGTATGAACCCTACTAACGAGATTTCATTGCACTCTGGGACAGCTGTAAATTAAAACCATACCTTTTATTATCTAATGATTGTTTACCAAAAAAAAAGTGTGGTGTAAAAAAAAAAAAAAATTAGTCCTAATACAAGGGAAAATCATTGAAGAAACTTGATAATGGCTCATATAATCAGGTATGTGTAATGTACGTGAAAGCATTTACGCTGTTTGCAGAAAATAGTCTAATATTACTAAAAAAACAGTATAAATTCCCTTATTCAAAGGTGCAGGTCAAGCTGGCAGAGATTGATATGAAAATTTTTTTTCTCTGCTTTGTGCAGCCCCACTTTTTCCGAGATTACCTTATTGCATTTAACTTTCAGGCATACTGGTGTCAGGGATTAGTAGTTTTTGCTTTTTAAATTTTAGAAAAAAAAATTTTTTTTTTAAAAAAAACGCCTTTTAAACAAAAACACATTTTTTCAGAATTTCAGGAGGGGAAAATTTGTTTTAACATGATTTCCTCACAATGAGATTTAAAATTACCTTCGCAAATGAGATTTAAAATTACATTCACGATTTAAAATCAGATATTGTGATTCATGTTCACATAATTTAAAATCACACATTGCCATTCGCGTTTAAAGAATTTAAGATTGAGAGATAGTTTCATATTTTTCTGATTTTATATGAATCATCCCGTTTCGTATTCACTCGATTTAAATTCCACTATTATGACTTGTATTTAAGTTACTTAAAAATCATACATCAGAATTCATATTTACAAGATTTAAAATATAAACATTGAGATTCGATTTAAGCAATTTCAAAATTAAATATTGAGATTCATGTTCGCATGATTTAATAATCACACATTGAGATTCATATTGACACAATTTAAATAAATAAAATCTCACATTGATATTTTTATTAAAACATTGTTAACATTCTGTGGATAAATGCTTCCTACCTACACTTTTTCTTGCTTGAATTTCAGGTATTTTTTCTTATTATTTGAAAAGTGCTTTTGCACAGAACATTTTTGGATTTCTATTTCCAGCTTTTTGGGTTTTTTTTACCAAACTTATCTCTGTGGAATGAATCAATATAGGGTTTTATAAAAATTAAAACATTTTTTTAAAAAATCCACGATTTTCAAACAAATATCTCCAAAATGAGATGGCGTCAAAAAAGGTTGAGACTTGTTACGAGAGTTAACCAATTACTTGCAAAAAGTTTTTTAATTGAGATTTCGTATTTGTAGAAAGCTTTTCATTTTTTTTTAAGTCTGCATGTAATGAAAGTCAATGACATAGATATTCAAACGATTGAACAAGGATACAAATTTACTGATTGTATTAGATGCTGATTGCACATCTTCACACTAATATGACCTATGTACAGGAAGATTTGGATTGGTTATCTATATGTCTATGGATAAAACAAATAGAAATCTACTGCACTAACTAACCATTTAAAAACTTAAATGATTTTTCAAACAAGAAAAAGATTCCTTTTTAAGAAACTTAATGATCTATTATGAAAACAATATGTGCAGAGTTGGATCACCTGTCAAAAGTCCCAACTGATACAACATTATTATGTAGGGATATCTAACAAATTGCCGGTTATATACCATAAATTATCTTTAATACACTTATAGTAACAAAGGCATAATATTTTATTGTAAGGCATGCAGTAAGATAAGTTTTAACTATGTTTTTATAAAAGGAAATACCATATTCAAATTTATGAGTATAAGTGAACTACATATTTATTAGGGTTGCAATATTTGATTATGTTTTCAGTGTGTGATGAAAGTGACACCAATAAAAATATGCCAAAATTAGTTGGCAAGAAAAAAAATCTCCAAACATTGAGAGCTGATGCCTGAAAAATTTGTTCCCATATTTCAACATAAAAAAAGGAGAGGAAATTTCTGTTTTTTGCCATTAAAAAAAATAAAAAGTGGCATCAAGTCATCTTGTATTTAAAGATTTTTTTTATCGAATAAAAACAAAGTTTCTTATTTTTTTTTATTATTTTCTTTACATGATGTCATATGATTCATCATAAAAATTGAGAAGATGTTTTTGCTTCTGGTCATTAAGAAAATAGAAAGGGGTCTTTAGCAATTCAAGATTTTTTTTATAAGTGAAATAACAAAGTTCCCCAATCTCAATTAAAACAAAAAATTCTGTTGATTTTTTTTATATTGCTCTGGTGCATAGCCAAATTTTTCAACAAAAAATAAGCACCTCTAAAGCACTCAAAAAATATTTTTAAGCACTTTTTTTTTGGAAAAAAAAGAATCCTAATTAGGATATGTGCACTAATAAAATTTTTTCTTTCTACTGGTGAAAATTCTTACATCAACAAAATGTAAAAACATTTTCCAAGACTTTACATGATCATAATAAAATAAGTAGTTTCTGACAAAGGGCTCTTTTCTTGCTTTTATTAGCCACCACAATAACAATTTTGCACAATATTAAATATCTTCCGCATTGAGTCACTCATTCTATTTTTAAAACTAATAATAACTTTTTTTAATTATATAAAAAAAGTGAATTCCAATTTATTAGTTAAGCTATAATCTGGGTGTATTTTTTAGATTTAAATAAAACTTATTTATAAAATTCTATTCAGCAAAAAATTGCAAGATTAATATTATTGATCATACTGAATTTATAAAGTGTAACGAATTAAGGAAACTAAGAAAACCTGAATAAATTCATATTACAAATGTAAATTGGAGAAAAAACCCTTTTAAACTTTTATTAAAATTTTTAAATTGGTTCATTATTTCTTTAATCAAATGATGAATAAAATGTTCTATATTTTTGAAATGTAAATACAATGAGTATTGAAGCTAAAAATTTTTGTCAGAAGTAAATTATTATATGGTCCCTACACTCATAATATTAAACAAATCTGAGATTATTGAACCTTTTATTTCAATTGTTTTTAAATCAATTCAATTTAATTGTTGCTTTTTTATTTTCAACTTTTTTAACTTTCACTGGCATGGTAAATTTGGATAACATAAGATTTTTTACTGCATTTGCTAAAGGTTAAAATAGTGAAAAGCCCTCATTTCATACTTTTTTTAAAATCTTATCTCCAAATATAATTAAGTTTTTTCAGAAAATAACTTAAAAGCACTGAAAATTTTAAAAAGTAATAATCAAATAGTAAAAGTAATAAGTAAAAAAAATAATAAAGTACAGTTAAAAATTTTAAAAAATTTATGCAATTAGAAGACAGTGCCTCCAGAAAAAAAAATCCCAAAAAATTTCACTTAATTCTTATCTTTCTTAAACTAAACAAATAAAACGGAGTTAAAAAAGTTTCTTTCATTTTTAGAAATTTAGGAAAAAACTTTAAAATTTAAAAATCTTCCAGTAAAAAACAAGAGTCAATTTATAAAATTGCAAAATAATACTAAGATCAAAAAGCAGAATCTTCAGCATAAATTTACTTGCCTTTAAAATAAAGATTGGAAAAAACATACCATCAATTCAAAAAAAAAAAAAAAAAAAAAAAAAAAAAAAAAAAAAAACAAACATATTCTTTTAAAAGTGTGAATATTTGAATATTGTATATTTTAATAAAACACATTTTAAAATTAATACAAAACTCACCTAGTTTTAGGGGATTATTTTTACAAGTTAAATACCACATGAAAAAAACGTTTTTCGTGCGATCTGGCATATCTTGAATGTCTCCTCTAAAAAATCGACTAACATAAGGTTGGCTCATTTTAGTCATCTCAGCTATTAAAGTCTGTTTAATATTATAAGTCATCACAAAATTTCGAATTTCAGCAAGCACAGCCATGTCTCCTTTCCTGTAAAGAAAATAAAAATTAATAAACACAAGATACTAATTAAAATGCACGCAAGATATTTCAAAAGAAAAAGACATTTAAAAGTGCTGTAATTTGAATTTGTTGCAATTAGTGTGTAATTTAAACGACAATTTGAACTTTATGAACAGAAAGTTACTAATGGTGAAAACCCCAAATATCAAAATACTAATAATTATATACTAGTATGTAATTATAATAATTAAATACTAATAATTATATACAAAATACTAATAATATAAATATCAAAAATACTAATAATTATATAATAAATACGACATATTTTTTGATATGCCTTTAGTGAATAATTCAAGATTCAATTCCATAAAAATAACAGCTTACATTAAAAAAAAAAATCTTAACCACAGCTAATATTTGCTACTCTCAATTTTATAAGAAAATAACCTTTATTTGAACAGTGACTGACTTTTAAAGGATTTCAATACAGCCACAATTATATATATATATATATAAATGCATATACAGTACAGAACACGTAATCCGGAAATCAGAAAACCGGAAAACCAAAAAACCGAAACGAAATTCGATAAATTTTCCCGCCATTTTTAAAAAAAAAAAATTTTTCCTCATAAGATTTCAAGATTTTTGTTTCTTTTTTGAAAGATGTTTACCTTACCATCATTTTGGAAACAATCATAAGTGTATTACTTCATCGTTTTTTCTTCCTTTTAAGATTATTTCTAAATATATATATTTTTAGTTGAGTTTGACAATAAAAAAAAACGGCTTTTTGAAGCTATTCAGAAAACCAGAAAAATCAGTTATCTGGAATAGCGATGGTCCCGATCGTTTACTGTATATATATATATATATATAATTTAATGATTAACTTTAATGATATATATATATATATATACCATAGCTGCCAACACGAATAGGAAAAAATCAAGAAGATTTTACAAAATAATATAAATTTCATGATAATTTTTTCAAAATATACTATATACAGATAGTTTTAGGGATTTTTATAGTCATCAAAATAGAAAAACTGCAATATTTTCCAGTTATGATTTCATATTAAATGATCTTGAAATGTTATATATTATGTTTATTTATAATTTTGAATAGTAATAGGCATTTGATTCATCAAAGATAAATAACTGAATTTTGTTAGTGAGGCTCGCTTCCTTACATATTAGTAACAATTATTTAAATATTCAAACAAGCAATAATCTGCATAAAAAATTCTATTTCAATAGGGATTTTTTAAGGAAACTTACTCAATTTTAGAGAATTTCCTAAAATTAAAAAAAGCAAGGAGAATTTTTATTAAACCATTAGACCAGGAGAAACTGGAAAAATCCAGTAGTCTACTAGAAAATCCAGTAAAGTTGGCAACTATATATATATACACAGTTGGACCTACATTTAACAAAGCCGCTAAGTCCCAATAAAGAATTCCTTATATGGAAAAATCGTTAAATAGAAAATCCCTATTTGAAGAACTTAAACACAAAACTGGTTTGAAATTAATAACACTAGACATAATTAAAATAGCAATTGATACACCTTTATCTCGCAAATTATTATCTACTATCGAATTGTTGCAAATGATTTTAACATTTCATCATATGAAGGTTTGGTGATTTCATCATTTCTCTCTTTATCTTCCTCACAATTTATTGCTGGATTGTTTTTATTTTTCACACTGTCCAAAATATCCGATTCAGTTAATGTTTCTGAATGTTACTTTTACAGTTTTTGAAAAGTTTTCAAAATCGAATTATTCAAAATGTGTCAATGCATTAATGAGTAGAACAGTTATAAGGATGCCACTGATGTCCTACATCACATCAAATACCTACCTAGAAGTGGAAAAAAATGTTTTAGAAAATAAAACTACTATAAAGTTTGATATGAAGACAAATTGGACTTCATTTTCTCACATGATCAGTAAAGTGGTTCCGATGATTACTCAATCAATCATTCAATGCTGAAAAATCGACATATAAAAATATTACGAAATGATAGTCAATAAATAGTAAAGTGATATAATTTCGGAATACTGACGACTTAAAAATATGGCTAATCTCAAGGATTCACTTGGTAAAAAAGCATTGAAACAGCAATAACTAATCAAAATTCTATTAAATATAAGCAACAATGCATTGTACCAGAAAAAGTGATTTTAATTTGAATTGATATATGCAATTTTATATCTTAAAAAGCAGATCAAATAAATGAAAGGTTGTAGTGTCATGATATATATTTTTTTTAAAAAATGGACATAACTCAAATTAGAAACATGTGTAGTCTTGAATTGCGATATGGCATCAACACATGATAACTTATATGACTAATTTTAAAATTATCAGCATAGAATTGCATTATAGTGCCAAAAAGCAATCACTCTATACCCTATAATATACAATTTACTATAATTTTAAAAAAAGATTTGCAAAAGATTTTACTTTTACACTATTAAATGCACTATTTCAGTTTTATTACACAATTTGAAATATGAACAATTCAGTATCAAGACCAGTGAAATTTATTTTAGACTCTTTACAGCAAAACAATTTTTAACTCTCTGTTCAATACTAAACTATCATATTATAGCAGCTTTTATATATATATATATATATATATATACTGACGGGGGAAAAATCCAACACCAAGAATGAGTTGTGCTAAATAAACTAAATTTGGTAGGCTTGTTTATACAACTAAAAGATGTCTATTCAAATTTCACACTTGGCGCATAAGTTTGTAGCGCCACTGTGATCATGCTAATCAGAGTAACTTTAAATACATGTTCTATAGTTGTACCTCATCTGCATCAGAAATTAGAGTTGCAGTTGATACTACAGTGACATAACGAATTGTTACAAATTGACTATTTCAAGTACATCTCCGGGCGAGACTTACATTCCACTTACTCTGAAGCACTGCCGTTAACATCGTGAGTGATGTCAATTTAGAGCTTACTGGAGGAAAGAATGATCTATTGTGTTTTGTGGTGAAATTCTGTTCTGCCTTGATGCCAGTGATAGCCGTATATTGGTTAGAAAGAGGCCAAGTGAGCGTCTGCCAGTCCAGTCTACAGCCTTGACACACTGGACCTACATCTGGAGTTATGGTCTGGGGTACAATTTCCTGACAGTATGAGCACCCTCATAGTTATTCACGCACGTTGACTGCAAATTTGTATGTCAACCAGGTGATTCAATCTGTTTGGTTGCCATTCATGAGTAGCATTTAAGGGGGTATTTTCCAACAAGATAACACTCACCCTCATTCTGTGGTTGTAACCCAACATGCTCTACAGAATGTTGGCATGTTGCCAGGCCCGCTAGATCACCAGATCATCCACCAAACGAGCATGTATGGGAATTCATTGGATGACAACTTCAGCATCAACTATAATCCCGTATTGACTGACCAAGTGCAAAAGGCATGTAACTCCATCCCACAAAATAGCATATGGCATCTGTATGACACAATGCATGCTTGTATTCAGAATTCTGATAGTTACACTGGTTATTAATGTACCACTATTTTATATTTGAAATGGTTTTTATCTTAATTGAATTAACCTGTAATCTTAACACTTTAATCAATTAAATATGTTACTCAGACAAACGCATTGTCAGAATTTCATTACTCTACAATAATTTTTCTTGTTTGTGGTGTTAGGATTTTTTTTCATCAGTGTATATATATATTAAATACATAATTTTTAGCTTTTATAAGGTCACAAAGAATTTTTAGGGTCCAATCTTTTATTCAGGATTAGTTATAAATGGTGGCTGATACCCTTTGTTCCAATTTACAAATCATACTCAGAGGCATTCCTGAGTTAACCATACAAGACGTTGAAGACTGTAAAGCTATTATTGATAACTATCAGAACAAAAAAGTGTAAAATCAGAATTTTCAGCAATTGCAATGGAAATAAAGAAAATTGATATTATGGAAACTACAATATAATTTTAATGTATTTTGTCATCTTGACAAAGGAATGAAGAAAAAAACTATCAAAGCAAACAAAAATTATTTAGGGGTAACTATATCCTTTAGTACAGAATATATTTCTTAGAAGATTAAAGAACAATAAGAAATTGTTTAACTTGTCAATTCTTAATGGATATTAACATTACACTCAGGTCCGAATTTTTAAAAAAAAAATTGGGAGAATAATTACCTTTCATCAAAGATCTGATAGCTATTGCAAGCCTTTGTCCAGGTGCTACCCCAAAATGAATGAGTGCATCATAATTTGAACGAATGTTTGGAAAGGGCTTTCATTTGGAGCAAATATTGAATGATTTCACTGTCTTTTCATATCCACCTACAATAGCCTTCTCTATCCTGTAATTTAATAAATATAAAGAGTGTAAAAGATTTCTGAAGAATTCAAAACAAATCAAATAAAAAAATGAGTATTAGTATAATATTTATAAATGTTACACCGGAAATTATGACTCAAAATTTTGCTAATAAATAAAGAGCGAGGCAAATTGATGTATTTCATTAATATTTAAGATTTCTTATTTTAATTATGAATTACTGAGTAAAGTAATAATCAAAGCATAAAACTGTTAGAATGGCTTTATGACCTGTAACAGGTACATAGCATTGACTTTTAGTGAAAGCTGTCATAATTATTTCTTAAATTTTTATTAAAAATCATCATAAAGATAAACAAGCATAAAGGAAGGTTGGCTTACATTACTAAACAGATTAAAACATTTTACTTCGGAAATTTCAGTAAACTTCCCCTTCTTTTCAATTCAGTTAATACTTTTTTTTTCCTTCAAAAATGTTATTTTAAAATATTTCTTTCCTTTTTAATTGATAGAATGGCTGTGACTGATTTTTCAAAATATTTATAGTGTTTCAACATTTGCACCATATGAATAATTTGGAAACTATACAATATCCAACAAAACATGCCCATCTCAAAAGCCAATGGGACAAGAAACAAAATTGACAAATTTTAAGATGGGCAGGTTTTTATA